TATATATATATATATATATATATATATATATATATATATATATATATATTAACCTATTGCTTAAATGTGTTTTATTCTTAATTCTACAGGAAACTGTTACAAAGCCGAAGTCATGACTACTGAAAGTCCTAAATAGCATTAATCAAGCACGAAGAACAACACGATGTGCAAAGCAATTACCCCACGACTACAACCTGCTGTAAACCTGATAAAACTAAATGTCTGTTGCCTATTTTGAAGTTGCCTGCATTTATAACTGGATTGGTGCATCATTCTGATATCTTTGGCTACCAGCTCGTCCGGAGATCACCGTAACTTAAGGCTCCGACGTCTGTCAAGAAACTCAGGAAAGAAACGGCCGCCGATGAATGTAAATTAACTTTATGCACTAGATTGCACACCATGTGTGAGCACATGTCATTTGCATATAGGTAACCTTTTATAAATAGGTCACCAGTATAGTGAGATAGGACACAACGTAGTCAATGTCCACAATGGAGGTGTTAGTGGTGTTATCGGCTTTCTTGTTTGCTGTCAGCTCTAGTGCTAAGCTGATTGACGGGGACCTGAAACTCCTTGATGGGGACAACTTTGCTTCGGGGACGGTTGCAGTGTACCGGGGGTACGAGTGGGGTCGGATCTGTGACGACAATTGGTCCATCCGTGAAGCGAATGTTGTGTGCCGACAGTTAGGACTGGGTTTCGCTGTCCGCGCAATGAAGCGGAATCAGTTTCATTCAGTTACTGGCCGTAAGTTCTGTCCTACTTTAATTGCACACTGTAATAAGTCATATTAATCACTTACAAAAGTATATTTTAATTGGGATAATTTTGCCCATTAAAATGTTTTTGAATAGCGAGCATTGACCCATAACTACAAGTTTATCTTGGTCCTGAGAGACAATTATTGTAAGCATTTTTTGTGCTTCATATCATTCCGGTTAAAAATAGAATATTATTCCGCGCCATAAAGTGAAATTTTTTTGCAAATTTCCTGGATTATTGCCAGTATAATTTGTCCTCAAAAAGGGACGGAATTTTAACATCGAAACCACGCCTAAAAATACACCTGAAGTAAAAAAAGTATCAAATTTTTTTCTAACCAGTAACTTTAGAGTCCGCTAAAAAGTAATGCAAACAATGGAGTCTTAGTGATTGAGCCTTTTACTAATGAAAGGGAAATGTTGCTTCTGCTAAGGTTATTTGTGACTGCCTTGAGTTGACCTGACACCAAAATAAGAAATCTGCTAAGGATAAATCGTATCTGACAATGAAGCCCACAAAACCACTTTGTTTGATAGCCTTTGAGCAGCCCACTGCTACCAGTCGAATTCATCAGAAAAGGCTGTGCTACGAACGTCCACCTGATGAAGGCAGCAAAATGTTTCTTTTGGAATTAGGTGTAACCATTGAAAAAGTTGGGCGTAACAATTAGTTGCCAGAAAAAGAATGAAAGAACTTGGAAATCGTTCAGTTAAAATCACCATATAGCCACATAAACAGTCAGAGTGGCGTGTTTTAAATTGTAAGTGTCATTCGATTCATACATCACCCGAATATGGTTAACTTTGCACATTTGACATCCGATCCGTTTTCGGTGTAATACTAGGCTGGCCTTAGCCAAAGACAAGCTGAAAATTACTCCGATTCATCTTGCTTCTTGGGTTAAAGTGGAATAGTGGGTGAGAAGTGCACTTAGGGTTTATCTTATTTGAACTTGTACGATCAGTATGATTAAAGTTCAACGTGGCCTTTTAATGTTAGCCCAGAGTTCAGGCATGATAATTAATAACAACTCTAGGAAGTATATGCCGGGGAATTCAATTAACGTAATGATTATACCTGATGTGCTTTATGTGTAACATTAATTACTTAAACCGGCATCAATTAGGTCCGTTTCAAATAGCCCGATTCTATTGTTACTATTCTGTCCATCGGGAAAACCATGGCAGTGGTCATGTCAATAAGTTAATTGATACAGCTGAGTATTGGTGCAACAGTGTAATTGAAAATCATTTGTAAAAGTGAAAGAAGCTTGACAAAAGCTTCCAAGGGACTTAACTGTGCGTATTGTTGAAAGTTGTCACGTTTCAGTCTTGTCTGCGTGGGACTGTGTTGAGTCATTCATTATTTCCTATTGTTCACTGGCTGCTTTATTGCATACCATAAGTAAGGTTCCGCTCTTCAAATAAGACAGCAAGGATGCACCGCAAGCATACTTTTTATTAAAAAAATTCACTCTTTTCACGCATTCCTTCAATAAATAATTGGCCTTTAGGACTTGGAAAAGTTCCCTTATAAACGAGGTGTCAATACTACTAAGTTTTTAACTTTCTACTCATTATTATTGCTGTTTTAAACTACCCAAGTGGAACGGAGAGGCTTCTGCGTTTTTTTAAAAAAACCAGGTAAATATTTGTCAAGACTGCTTCTTTGAAAAGGCAAATATGCACTGTGTGCAGATAACCATTTTGGTTATGCGAAATGCCATACAAGTTTAGGATATTTCATTTGGATAACGTTTAGGCAAATACTTTATGGATAATGTGAGGTGCCTCGGAAATGAAACACGATTGATAGACTGCAAATTCGATGGCTGGGCTCGACACGACTGTGCTGAAAACGAGGATGCAGGTGTGCAGTGTGCTCAGGACACCAGCCCACGGGCCAAAATCACCTGGAATCCTCTTCGACTGGATTACTCCAAAGAAGAACTAGACAACCTTTCTAAGGTGAGCAGAAGTCGCTTAAGCTAACGGAGCTACGAATTACGTCCGTTGAAAAATTGTCTAGGCGGTAGAGTGCTGCGTGATGAAATAGAAAAAATCCACTTCCACACCTTTTTCTTTGTCACGCAGTTCCGAAATCTTGCAGCTCCATTTTTTAATCAAAACAAATTCCTTTTCAGTTCCGTTTTCTAACCAATACTTTCAACAATCGTTTTTCTAGATAGCTTTAGCTCATGTCGTATTACTGCGTGCTATCTTTCCAAAAGTCTCACTTAGCTACCTAGAATGTAAGTAGTCAATGTGCATCTTTTACTCGATCATTAAGTTTATTTTCTAAACTGCAATTCCTAAAAACAAAAACTGTTTGCCCAAAATGATGCTGTTTATGATAGTCATTACGTTCCCAGGACAATAACTTAATGTTTGATTACCTTGCCTTGAGCTCAGAAATACTCATTAATTTGCAACCAGTCAACTTCTTTTGATTTCTTGTGCCACAAAAAGAAACCTATTTTTCTCTACACTACTTAACAAAAATCACACATCAATAACTTTAATTCTTGAGGTGGCAGCCTAAGGTCAAATTCATTCAAGGAGGCGTTGTTAACCAAGTGCCTAATTGTTCTGTCCCCTTCATTGGAATAAACACTAGCTAGGCATAATAAACCCAAATCCATGTAATCAGGTCTGCTTAGTAGCGGTTTTTGTCACTTTCTTTAAGATTATGGATGCCGAAGTTTTGTCTTAATCTAGATATTACGTTTAATGTCCCATATTCCGTCAATTAAGTGTATTGACTTATGACAAAGACTTGGGTTTTCAAATTGAACGCAAATCACAAATTCAAAATAATATCAAGGAAATTCCTTGAGTGAACTTTTCCATAAACGATTTTCAACTTGCCCAAATTTATTAGTGCTGTATGAATTATGTCGAAAAAAGTAGTGGTGTCCTATTTCGATTAATAATCATTATTTTCTGTCTGTTTGGCTAAGCATTTATGCAATTATTGGCTTATTCAAACTTGGGCTCTGAAATCCTTCTTTCTTAGTTATTGTTGGGCTTTTAGATGTACTTTCTAAAAATGTGCAGAAACCAGCTAACATTTCCTGTAGTTTGCAAAATACCTTGACAATTAGACCAATTAACTGTTTACTTGTACCTATTCCATTGAAGTGTAAACGCAAGCCATCGAGATAATTTCGTAAGCTCATGATATCAATTCCAGCTTCATGTAAGTCCAGTATGTGTTCATAATGTAAGTACGTTTACTTGCTAATTCTGTTGTAAGGCGGTTGAAGGTGGTGCCGAAAATACAAAGATGTGAAAATGCGTCCTATTAGTCTTAGAATTTTGGCAAGAAAACAAATTTATGATGCTGTCTAAAGCAGGTCAAAATGATGTAAAAGGTTCTGGAATATATGAAACTAATTAAGTGGGTTAGGACTTTAGTAAGGAAAATCACTTTTTAAAATTGAGGCTAGAATGATCAAAACTTCGGAATTACTCATAGTCCCTCAACCCCAATTTTTGAAGTGCATTCTTCGCCTTATGTTCTCAGGAAATTTATAATGCTATTTACATTTTACCCATCTACAGCCTTGGAAATTATGCAGTTTCTGTTTAAATCTGGGTAAAAGACTGATAAAAGTTGCCTTTTGGTGAATAAAGGTTGACTTCACAGTAAGCAACCTTGGTACAAGTGGATTATTCAGGGTCAAAGAGTTGAATGCTACGCAGACGGTCGAAGACGCGCAGATTATCATCATTCACCCTACCTCTGGGGAGGCTGGGGCCCTCTGTCCCGACCACTTCACCACAATGGACGCAATCGTTGCCTGCAAACAGATCAACTCCGGTATTGGCGGACGAATTGTTGAGGTTAGCTATTGTATCTTTGTAATGACGAAATGCACAAAGCTATTCTGTAGCAGGAGCAAGTTTTATTACTGTAGGCTGTGGCCGTTTAATTCTTGTTTAAATTAAAATTATATGGTATCCTAATACCGAAGCAGTTTTTAGTTAAGTTCTGTTGAAAAACACTGCGCATTTCAAAATAGATTATTCGAAGACTCCGTATTTATGACTGCCCCTTCAGACAAACCACAAAGGGAAGCATATTGCTAAAAGCAGTAAAAAAGCCATAACTATGAGCATCTGCTCCGAGGCCTAGTAACTTGGAACCATTGATTCACAACCGCTTATATTTGCTCAGCTTGTCATTTTGAAGCTCCTTTACAACGGCTAATGTGAAAGATTCCACAACAGGTAAAAACTATAAGGACATCAATATCCTTTTTCTTACCAGCACCAATGCATGCCTTCTTCCAGAGTTGAATGTAAAATCACTTAGAAGTACAATAATGGATGCGCTAACATAGAGCTCTAGGTGAATGTTATCACACGCAGTGATAACTCAGGATAATCATTTTGATGTGAGGTTTCCCTGGGCTGGTGGCACGCTGTGAAAAGGGAGTTACTGTGTCCGTGAATAGGCTGACCGGATTAACGAGCGTGAATCGACGCGATTCACAACAAATTAAACTAGGTTTTGGCCTCACTTTGATATTTACATAACAATCTCGTGGATAGGATTCAACCAACGAAGCTATTTCTATTTCTGGTTAAGGTGATATCTGGCTATCAACACCCAGACGACGATAGTCTTCCACTACTTCATTGATGATTGTAGATCTTGTTCAGTTACATTACTTCCTTTTTGAAAACTACCTTCAGGGGAAAAATTGCTTTTGGGACACTTTAAGCACTTTACCCTACTGCTTCGGAAGTGATCCGTGTTTCTTCTGCAGATCCCTATTGCCAAAGAGATCTTTCCAGCAATGAATCACGTTGCCATCATTGGACACTGTTATGGTAACGAAACGAACTTGAACATGTGCAGACACTACGTGAATCCCAATGGTGTCAAGTGTCAATCCACGAAGGCTGTAGCCATCGCCTGCCAAGATAGTAAGTGTTTTTTAGTCCTTATTAGTAATGAACCTCATTATGTCATTTAACTTTGTCTAGATCAATTTTTCAGGACTACTTCTTTTAATTTCATAGATTTGACGTCGATCCTGTCTATTTTTGCCGGCAAACAAGCCTAATTTGTGGCTGTATTCACACACTTCCTGGGAGTCATTTAACTGAGTCTTACTGGGTTTTCTCATTTTCACTAGAGGTCCTGACTAAGTATCACTAAGAAAGTCAGGTTTATTGGTGAATGCTGTCCTATAAGTACAGCTACAATCAAATATATATGTTCCATCATTGTAGTCGTGATAATCTTTGTAGGCGGTTAATTCATTCCTTCAAAAATGCCCGTTGTAGAACTGCCGGACCTCGTGTCAGACATTGAACAACTGGAGAATTCTGTACATGTGCAGAGACTCAGGCTTTGGCATTTGGAGTGCGCACTTGAAGAACACTGCTTCCCTAACAGCGTGTACACCTACATCGCTAATAACCCAGGTAAGAGTGGCCAAATCAGGTCGTTTTTATTATTATTCACCATTGAAGATGGAGCAAGAAAAACGCCATATTGACAACATTCCTAATTATCCCTAAATCTATAAAACCTTACTGCTTTTGAGGACATAGACCAGCTCAAGTCTGTTTAGTCGTTAAGGCTATAACTAGTATACCTTTTCTTCACTTGTCACCCTACAGCGTTTTTGCCTCTAACTTTTTTATATTGGTGTTTATTTTTTGCCACTAACTTTCACTCTGTTTTTTAAAGTAGAGGCTTCATCCCTTGAAACCACTTCTAATAAGCATTTACGCAACACTTAAATCCCGGTGTTATTCAAATCAAAGGTTCAAAACCATTGACTCTAAATAAATACCTACGTTTTCATAATAGTTAACTTGGTAGAATGAGTCATGCAGATTATTCAATCCGCAAGCATCGGAAATACGTTATGATAACAAACTTCACACAGAAGGAGAGCAGATTTATGCTGCCAATTAACGAAAACGGATTTCAAATATCAACTTGGCGTTGATGAGTGCATACGCAGATCCAAGAAAGTGGTCTCGTAGACGATCGTTTCTCTACATTTCGTAGACATCATACAACAACCAGAACTTATAATTTGACCCACTAACTTGAAATTAATGCTCGTTTGACAACACGACTCCGTTTTCTTTCAGAAAATGTACTGTCAAGTAAATTGCTCATTTTATAATTTTTTTCTCGGTGATAAGCGAAATTGAACTGCTAGCTTGTCATGTTGTAGGCCGTTATCACTGGGACTCTAGAACCCTGATCCGGTTTTCTTCCATCACAAAGAACGTGGGAACCGCACCGTTTCTTCCTGCTCTCATACCTGAGCACTGGGAATGGCACCCCTGCCATGCGTAAGTCAGGAAGTGTGTGGCACTTCCTGGGTCCGTTCTCTATCCACACTGCTTCAGTGAATTTTTTTGCTGGTGTCACAATAAGTACGTTTTTCCACACTCATTTAAAGGCAAACATTTCACTACTGTTGAAAACATTTCACTCCCTTGTATGGGCTTCTTAGTGTGTCACCTTGTTGCGACGCCATATACCACTAACTACCCAACAAGGATGAAGTCTGCGGAAGGACAGAGAGTCAACCGTTTATTCGAGAACTTGATGAAGCCATGGTAGTGTGTGAGGTTTTCGCGTGGGTATTTATACCTCGGATATGTGAGTAGTAAATGCGCTAACATTGAGACCTAGGTGTGAGGATAATCCAAGATAAATATCCGTGTGAATGAGGGGGGAGTTGAGGATTTGTGCAGCTGGCAGCATGCTGCGAAAAAGGGGGACCCTGTGTCGGAGGTGGAGAGACCGGATTAAGGAGTGTGAATAAACACGATTCACAACAACCTTAATTTCTTCAGCACATCGTCTGGGAATGAAAAACAGCCTAAAAACCGGAGAATATGCTAAGGCTATTGTTAGGAAAAATCGGTGTAATGAGGCGATTCACATTGAAAGATTTTCATGCACAAAAATGTGCTCCAAAAGAGTAAAGCCCATATGGCAAGGAGGTCTGCATTCACATATTTACTGTCATATGACGTTCGTCCATTATTTATAAAACCATCAGACGTACTGATCCTTGAGGAGTTCTTGATATAGGGTCTGGCAATCGATTTCCCCTCTACATTCGTCATTAAACCAGCCACTGATTCGCAGGTACTCAACGAGGTGGAAGGGAGCTAGTTTTTTCCGCCCCTCCACCTCCTCATCGCCAAATAGGCAATAACCGTGGAGACGCCAAACTCGGCGCTGGAATATCAAGCGTCCGGTGGAAATCAGTTTTGACGCCGTGGGTGTCAGGACTGGAGACGAGTCCTGTCTATGGACCCAAGAGCACCTTTATTGCGACATCCATTTTAAGCTCCTGTATCAGTGCTATTACTTTTGTTCTCCAATGTTTCATTGTGACAGTTTATGGGCGGCATCATTTTTCACGTCAACGTATCGTAAGGAGTCGAATTTGAAAGAGCATGACGTGCGCGGCATTCTGAAGCTGTACAACACGAAGCTCTTTCCGCATGTTGGATCCTTAGTAGTGGCTTTAATATGGCCTAATTGATTTCCAAAAGGTGCAAACCGGACATCAAACGGTCGTCTAGTTTTCCTAACCAATGTCAAGTAAACGAATAGTTTTCCTAAAGCTAAATTTCATTTTTAGATTACGTACGAGAAAACCAATCGGATTCCAATTGGCATTTTTAGGCGTAGTAACTTATTAATTCCATTATGCTGACTTGAAGTGGTTTTCACACGATCTTTTAGTAATTTAAGTAAACTTATGGCAAAGTAATTTATTTTCATGGTAAAATATCCTTTTGAAGTATTGATAACTGTTCGAAGAAAAATACATCGGCGACGCATGACCTAATCTCAACAAATTTTATGTTACTTAAAAAACTTTTCAAGAGTACAAACTTTTTGCTGCCACAGGCACGTTATTTCCTGCATTGTTGTAAATCTGTCTTAATTGCCTTTCCAGACACTACCACAGCATGAAGGTTTTCGGCCGTTACGAGGTTGTGGACATAATGAATCGTCTGGTATCCTACGGACACAAGGCAAGCTTCTGTCTGGAGGATAACTCTTGCGACAGAAACGTTACGAAACAATTCTTTTGCAGCAACGTGATGGACACTAAGGGAAAACAAGGTATAAGATATTAAATCTTAGCATATAACTGTCAGAAGTTGATTTATATGATAGATGTGTAGCGGTCTAGTGATGTAGAAGTCTTTTGTGTTTAGGTGGAATAAATATTTTGTGAAGCAAACGAACTGTTACAATTGTTCAAAATAGAGGCTGCAAATATTAAATGAACTTAACAGAGTTTAATGAAGGAAGCATTTTTTATTGCTTTAGGCATCAGCCCTGGGTGTCAAGATGAATACTTCTTTAATTACGATTGCCAGTGGGTGGATATTACAGACATTCCCGTTGGAGACTACACTTATCAGGTAGGGTAATCAGACTTAACATCGAGAACGCATTCTACTTATGTCCCATAAGTAACAACTGCTTTGAGACAAATTCAAAATCTTTAACTCAAAGTTGCACCAAATTTACGCATTGACATAACTTAATTGATAAGAGTCCCAACGAGAACACTAGTATTAAAAACAGATGCTTTTTAGCCATATTATGGAATGAATTAATGAAGTTTGCATCGTCCTTTTCTATTTCAATTTGAATTGGAAAGGAAGGAAAAAGTAATTTTGCCTTAGGGGTCTGAAAATTACGCCAAACAATTGGTCCAAATTTTGCATTGTAGGATAAATTGTCAACACTCATTAATTTAAATTTGCCTGAGAATGAATGAGTACCATAATCCAGTCAGGCCTTTACTTGCAGTGTGTACATGATTGTATTTTTTGAACAAGCTTTTCGAGAAGATGACATTGAGTATCCAAACCAGACTGCCAAATGGACAATTAAATCTCTTTGTTAATCTAATGTCAATAGACGCATGTTCTACTTAACTTGCAACCAAAAAAACCGTTTTGGACTTTTCTAGGTCACTTACAACCCTGATTACCTAGTTCCTGAAAGCAATTACTTCAACAATGCCGTCACCTGCAAGATGCAATATCGCGGAAATTCGGGACGCTTTTACCAGTGCAAAATTGTGCACCCGTTTGACCTCCTGTAAACTAGAGTCGCACGGATGCCAGCAGCACCTTTTCACCTCTAGTGGTATTATAGGAAAACAAATCATTTTTGACGTGTTTTGTGCAGACTAATATGATCTAGTTTAAATGAGCGATTTTACCCAATTAATGATGGTTAAGTTGGCCTCTCAAAAGTTTTACAACTTATCACTAGGGACAGATATACAATAAAATGTAAACTCCGACCGAACTTCTGTTGTCTATTATATTATTAATGTGGACTTGAATCTACAATTACCACAATAGCCTAAAATTGTTGTCGATATGCATTAAATGTCCAAAATCTGCTGACAGATTACGCGACTGTGGGATTTCTTATTCTTGTCATGTTGCAAACAGAGTATGAAACCCAATGCGTGTAAATTGTTCGTCTGGTCAAATCTTAAACACAATCATGAGTGATAAAAAAATTTTCTGAGTTAAAAAACAACTTTTCAATAATTTTTGAGATATATGCAGATACTGTTTTTAAAAAAATACTTTCGTGTTGCCCAAGTTTTAGACATCATTTCTAAATTCCCGTGGCTCCATCTTCGATTTTTTATGAAGAAAGCGTACTGTAGCTAAGGAATTGAAGTTTTTTGTCAGTTGAAGTATTAAATTTTATGTAAACTTAAAAATCCGAGTGTGATCCATGTCATGTATTTTCATCATCAGTTGTCGTGTCAATTTGACTGTCGCGGGGTTACCATCACGGGAAAGGCTTGATTTGCTCGGATAATTATACATCTAAACACAGACACCCATGTCAATTTAAACAATATTAATAACTACGTTCTTAATTAAATGCAATACAAGTAATTGAAATTCGAATAAGGAAAGTTTGCCGCTATTGCCATATAAGTGCAGAGAAAATGTGTTCTGAACCTCGTATCATGATTTGACGGAAGTATAAGGTTTAAGGAAATTTTTCTGATGTTTTTCTGATCGAAAGGCTGCTAAAATAACTTAACAGGACACCTACCACATCTAATATTCATTGTCTCTCACACTGTTTCCGATAGCTTTCCCATTCCTGATAGACCATACATTAAGCAGGTTTACTTAATTATATTTACAAAGAAAAAACTATTTTAGCCTAATGATCGACATTACAAATAAAAAAGGATTCTTTTTACTGTTTCTTCGTTTAGAATAGATATTTACGCATTACTAGATAAATTTTGACCCAAACAAATATTCTACTTACATAGTCCCAGTCCCATTTAATTGGGTCAATGGTTACACTGGGCATGACAAAATTTTGCTAGCAAATGACTTTGTTGATCGTGTTATAGGCAATTTCTTTGTCAATGAGTTCAACACGTCTCCATTATTAAACTGAACAGGTGCGAAGACGAAGGGGCACCAGTACATACTTGATCTAATGTAATCCTAGCCTTAGAGTCAATAGATTCTTCGGGGAATTGTTTTTCTTTGATCTCAAATTAAAGTGTAAAAATAAATCAATGTATTAAATGCAAAGTGGTCTTCTATGGGCCGGTTTAAAGTTCTTTGTCTTTCTTAGCAGGCGTGGTTAGCATTACGCGGTACCTTTATCTTATTAAATAAAGGCGCTTTTGTCTGCTAGCCTAGATAATTTTTACGATTACCCACATTTTCTTCATGGTTAGGGCTGTACTTTATGATTCCTTCCTGCAGTAATTCATTTCAATGAATTTGAAGGAGATGAGATGTAGTGCCAAGTTTGCCAGCTCACACATTCGCATTGAAAACATCAAAAAGAGCTAAAAGCCGCCACTTGGATCTGGAAAACATTATAATTCAGGACACAAATTGCAGGTAATGACGTAAGATCTTTAATTTATTTCAATAAACATTTGCTACATTTTCTGATTTGCACAACTGGTCCCTACCTTGAATGCCTTTTTCTGATGTTAATGACGTTAGGGCCACATAAAGTCCACTTCGGTTTGTACACTCCTCTGACACAATGCCTAGAACGCGCGACGCAAGGTACACAATGGTTGTATCACCTAAATTCTACAGGTCCACGAAACAAAGCCTTTGTATGTGGCATGAGAATCGTCCTTTTATCATCTTCAGATAAATCCCGAAAAACTTGTGTCAGTTAATAGCCGCTATCAAATTTGATGCTAAAAATTTTCATTTAAGAAAACTGCAATCCATGAATTTTAAAATCAAAGTATACTTCATGCTGTTTCTGTTCTTTTGACTGCCCACAGGATAATGTATGTCCGTGTCAATATTTCACAACTGAATATATCTCATGAAAGCCAAAATTAATTTTGGAGTAATACAAAGATATACCACGCTTAATTCAGATATGAACTGATTAATATACTTCAAGGAGATATCAAGTGTTTTATCGTCGACACCCTGATAAATTATTTGTGATTAGCATGTCAGCAGAATGTCAAAACACTGTACGAGCTGTCAATAGCCAGGTTAAAAACCGATAGAAGCTTTATTGACGTACAAAACACACAGGAAGGGTTGTAATTGTGCCTGGATATTTCATTGGTGCATAAAATGAGCGATTGCGTTCATTTTCACTTCAAAAGGCGTAGATTAAAGAAAGGCGCTGGATATAAATTGAAAAATCTTTGGAGGCGATCACAACTCGCTGCCTTTGAACCTGTTTACTGCATTGTTGACAAAGTCACTGTAAGGAAAAAGCAGGCCAATAAGCTAAATCTTGCATTAATTGTGTTTTTAAGCAGCAATTGGAAACTATTAACATGTGACGAACGCGTGATCAAATGCTGAAAAGCTAACCAAGTGCTTTAGAACATAGTTTGCTACTAATTTTGCCGAATTTCAGCAACACAAAGCACATCAAATCTCTTTGTCTGCTACCGCCTGACTTCGACTTTAATACAGGTAAATTTTCATTGTTCAAGCCAATAACCATTAAAACCGTAGTCAGTTGCCAAGTCATAAAACAGTAAATTTAATCCAATTTATGACGCATCTAGGAGGAAAACGTTTTCTCCAATTAGCCTGCATGCAATAATGTGGGGGCGTAAGGAAACCCCCGCCAACTCGGTATCAACAAAATAGTTGTCGAAAGCATTTAAAATAAGGCTAAGATTTCAAGATATCTTCCTTCAAATAAAAATTGTCGCTTTCCTGCGACTTATTTTTACCGATCTCCACAAAACAGTGCAAATACGTTTTTGGCGTAATGCTAGTCACATCGCCTGTGACACCCTGGAGGTGAATTAAGTCTACTTAGGGCCTTGAGCATATGCTCATTGAAAAGCCAGAATTGTGGCCCAAAGATTCGAAAAGAACATTCACGAATGTTTCTCAAATATCGTTTTTTTTCAAAACAAAGTGTAGCCATTAATAAATGGTTCAAAACTATCTCAGTTAATGGCGTCCTTTATGAGTTCTTGTGCATTGAAATAGTTTAGTTAATTTAATGCAATGGTTTCACCATCGCGGAAGTCATCCATTCATCGCCTGACTAGAGTTTTGCACAACGTGGAACACAAAGATTGCCATAACAACCATTTCGCAATAATCATTTGGCAAACCATAGAGTAGGCAATTCTTATTTATTCACAAAAATCAGAACTGTAACTAAAGCATTGAGAATTTTGGAACATTGTGATAATTATAATCCAATACACCCTAGAATCTTCAGTTATTTAACGTTGATTTTGGATAGCCACACCTTGATCAAGAAAAAAAAATACGAAAGTGCAAGGAAATTCGAGGTTCACTGTATGTAATACCAAATATTATAAGAACACAAACGTTGGAGGCCAAAATCACTAATACCAGAATACAACACGTGTGACAGGTGATTATAATAGGATGCTTAAAAAGCCATTCCTTTATATGTTTTCACGAAATAATTGATATTGATACAAATTTGAAAACACTACTAAATATTTTCCATTCTAACATTAACCAATGACATTTTGCACATGCTAATTTTCTTCAAGGTTTGCTTCTACATTTCAATTTTTTGAAATATAGAAGCAATAAATGACCAAGTTCGACGTATAGGCAATCTACAAAGTGCGCTTTATATGAATCCCTTTTTTAACTCGAAATAAACCCTTTCCAGTTTCGAGGCTGAAGAATCAGCTTAGAATATAACGTAATGCTTTAGAGCGGTAATCGTCTCGCAGTCTGTTAAAATCACAATTTGAAAGTATCGTCTATATATAAACATCCACAATAGCTATGAGGGTAATATCGACGACAAATATAGCAAGGCAGAAAACTTTAAGTCTCCAATTGACTTTTGCTAACGCGAATTCAAACTCTGTTTAAAATAATAGAAACAAATTTGTACCACAATGTGTGGAAACCGCCGAATCCATACCCAAACTTGTGATATTTGGTGCATTTTAAGCATAATTTTGGTTGTTTCTGAAACTGTATTAGCCATAACACTTTGTCCAAAATTCACACCAAAAGGGTAAAGTGTGTATTCTCTGCTTACCGAATGAGACTTCCGGCACCGGGGTATTCATGGTTCCTATTGTGGCCAAAGCCTTGAAATCCAAGGTTCTTAAAAGTTACATCGACGTTTGCTTTCTTTAATGTAGAATATAGCTACAAAAGCAAGTGTTACCAAAATCAGAATGGATGTAATCCAGTTAGCTTTACAACGATTTAGTTACGAACAAAGCTGCATGATTTTCTCAAGACCTTACGATCGACAGCAACGTTTAACACACTTCCACAATATTTCGTTATTTTTAGCTTATTTTGGCGTTCTTTACCAAGATGTTTCTCTTGATTGGCTCTCATCAAATTTATACAACACTTCACACCTCTGTTTGATAGCAGAAAAAAGCGATATGCTATTCCATACATACTAAGAAAACCATAAGTAGCTGGCCAACCAAATTTAGCAAATAACCATTTTTGCAAATGTTAACAGGATAACTTGGTTTGATGTTACAAATATTTTTAGACAGTGGTACACTTTGCCAGGATGCACAGTTTGACCTATCCAGAGACACCCAGCATTGTTCTACCGTTAGCTTCAAGACCTTAAATATGAGGTTCAGATGATTCGTATGTTTTTCACAAGATAATTACTTAAAACTGATCAGACATTTGATGAATAGAGATGCTAGAGAAAGATTTTTGTAAAATAGAGATGCTAAAGATATTAGCCTAATGTGAAATATTCAATTTTTAAGCTGCCTCATTGCCGGTAACCGGCGTCATTTTAACTACGTTTGTTCCTGTTAGTTAACAGTTAGACAATCGCCGACTAGTGCACATAGCCTGGGCACAGTGCTGTTTGTGTTGCGATTTGTACCGTTAGGAAGTAGTGGGATCACTAGTTGGTTCCTCCAAGCTGGTGAGCTCCAAGGGAAAAACAACCAAAGAACAACTCATGACGTTTTCTTGCACAAGCTTGTGGGAGACCGGAGTGAAACTTAATTCTGATTTCGGCAATGGTTTTACTTTAGCGACAGTTACATCGTTGTTTTTCAATTCCTATTTTAGTAGAAAATATCGTAGTTTGCATGCACCAAGTGTTAGCTTTCTAGGACTAAGTGGAGCTGATGGTAGCTAAAGGGAGTCTTTGTGTTGGTTCTCACAAACACTCACACTTTCACACACTTTAATCACGTTCAGTTCAACAGATTCCCCATGGGAGCGCTGATGGAGCGTGGATGCATTCATGCATGGCGGTATCCAACGATACACCAAATTCAGATGGCAGGAAATGACAACTCAAGCATGCAAACTGTAGAATAAGGCAGCTATCATAGGGAAGAAATGTGTAACTACCCGTTTGTTTAAGTTAAAAGACATGTTGGCGTAATCAAATAGTTTAGAGAAATGTTCCAGTAAGTGGTGGAGGATTTCTGTGTTATTTTTGCCAAAAAAGCATATTTAAAAAACATTTTTTTCACTATGAACAAACATTTGTTTAAATAAAATTAACTACCCTCCATTGTGTGTCACATTTTAGAATTGATTACCATATTTTTAGATTTTCTTTAACTCAGACGTTCAAATTGAATCTTTATTCTTTTGAAGCTCCGGTTGTGTAAGCATTGAAAAAAAAATTTAGTTGCGATGTGAATAAACTTGCCGTATGACCAAGTTGAATTGGTACAATCTCGTCGTCGGCGGAATGTAGTATGAGAATAGGACAATTCGCCCGCTGAAAACTGAATAGATTGGAACAGTAACCTCGTCGTCGTATAACAATGTGCAAATCAGTAAGCGGTAGAATCACCTGGGCTGGAATGTGGCGTTCACAGGCAAAACCTTGAGATGAGACCATCGTATACTACTTTCACATCTCAGCATAAGAGCACAATTACGAAATGAGATATCAGTTAATCTGTAATTTTAGTGTGTCAGATTAGTGGTGTACACGCAAACCCAAAAAAATAAATTAATCCACTGGTTTATTAAACAACCAACTAAACCCTCTGTAGACTTTATTACATTATGGTGTGAAAATTTGGAGTTAGTGCAATTTCAGTTCACGATTCTCACAAAAACGCATAGTTTAAGGACACACTGTAATGGCGAATGTTGCAACCTTGCTTTCTGAATGGGATGACCACGTCAGATGCAGACCCATGTAGTTGACAATGAGCTTTGTATTTTAAAATAAATGCTACTTACTTCAAAATGGAGCGACGGAATTTGACATTCGGCGTAATCTAACGGGTTAACGCATAAGCTGGTAAGCACTCTGCTATCGTTGATCGGTTCTAATCGTGGGAGTGAGTTCTCATTTCAGCACACAGATCTACTCGTATATGCTAATAATGTATAGTGGATTATTGACCACAATTAGCAAGGCCACCATTTATAATCGATAGTAATATCACATAGCTAGCAAGAAGACTCATCGCCACCTTGAATCTTAAATTTGTAGTAGGTAAAAATTGCCTCTTAGCATTTACGCCAAACATTTAACCGCATAAATTAAGAAAATCGAAATATATAACAGATTTAACACATCTGTAGTCTCTTTAGTGGGCCTGAGTTGGCTATTTGGATCTGTGAGATCCAGTAAAACAGATTTTCACTAAACTGTTCTGCCGACTGCTTGACCCAGTCCAGTTAATAATCGTGACATCACTTTTGCATTCGACTAGGTCAAGACGGCAGGGCATCAGTGACTTCGTCATTTTCTTATTTACTCCCAAAACGTCCTGCAGGCAGATAAAAATGAAGGTGCCATGAGACTAATTTGCAGCTGTATCAGTTTGCTTAAGAGACTGTTTTGTTATGCCCGTAGTTAGCATAGCTGTTTTACGTAGATAACGATTGCTTCCTTTTAAAAAAAGCATATTGCTTAAAACACCGCATGATTAAGTAGAAAATTAGAGATCTGGAATTGCAACCAAAATCAATTTTTCGAATTTATATATCGTATGAACATATAACAAAAGCAAATTACGATTTTCTTAAATTCACTCCTTATCACCCAGCACCGGAAGTATAAAAAAATGTAATGAAATTTTTTAAAGAGACCGGAGAATAACTAATAACATTTAGATCACAAGATACGGGATGTGCATGCAATGAGACAATAACATCCAGTCTAAGTAGTCTAAAGGCACGGGTTTTTAGCATTAAGAAGCCGGGAGCCGCTGCAGAAAATATAAATAATTTTGCCTACAAACAATCACTGAGTTTTTTTTTGTGAAGTTCTGTACGCAAACTCAGCAGCAGTTGCATGTTTTAGTTGAAAGACAACGTACTTTTACGTCCTAGTCCTTAGTGTGCATCTAACTTCAACAGAAATATGGTAAGTTCAATAGGTTAACATCTCACTTAATTTTTTGTGGACATACTGCTCCGGTTTAAAGTATACACTTTACGCAAATCAAATTTGTTTATCGTGGTTCGTACTGATTTTGAAGGTAGGTTCAAGCACACCACAAAAATTTGTTTGCCACGTCCTTTTTTCACTTACTTCCTGAGTTATTTAAACATATGGGTTAAAATAAACCCAAGATGTTTGGTGTGGTTGAAAGCATCTTTTTACTGCACACCACGTTATGGATCAACTTCGACAAATGTATTTGTGGGATTTGGCGTGTTTGCTTCTTGAGTGAATTCTTGGTTGGTAGGTCAGGACGCAACATTAGTAAGAAGATATTTACACGACGCTTTTTAAACCAGTACACATGTGCGATTTATATAATGCTCTGAATTCCTCAAGTTAATTTTTACTTCTGATAATGACTTTGATCTCACTAAAGTCACAGTCGAACTAAACCTCATGGATCAGGTCAAGATGAGCAAACACTGCATGCGATCTAACCCTTGTATCTGGAAGTTCAAATTAAACCTGACTTGGTGACTACTAAGAAGGTGACCAATCGACAATCGAAAAACTTACTTTGCCTCAGAATTGTAGGCGATGCCAAGGGAATCAAAAATGTGCTTAAGAAGATGCCATATTGCCACGACAACCCTCATTGCCTAAAACACAGGCATTTACAAAAGGTTTTCACCTTGCTAGATGTTAGATCAATAAAGTATGTAGTCAATTAAATACCATAGACGAGTTTATTTTGATAGAATTTGCAATGCTAAAAGTTAAATTAAACACATTTAAATTTGAGTTCGGTAAATGGTCTCTGCCGAATTGTCGATGAGTATATTGGTCGGAATTTTAACGAAATTTGCGAAACGTGGCATGTACACCTTCACGTCGTAAGTAGAAGTGACTAAAAGACGCTTTGGCTGACCAATTTTGGATTACACTGTATGACTGCTCATATTAAACAAAATACACTTTAATTAGGTAATTATAGCAAATAAAGTCACTTAAATGAACCCGTAAACATAAGCTGATTTACATACAATTCCGTTGTTGCAAGTTTCATACATTTAAAGCAGGCTAATTTAATTTTAAACCCACTTAATGCTCCTATATTTTGTGGACTATACATTTATGCTGACACCACATTCTGTATTCGCTCTCCGTTACTCGAAAACGTGGGTGTGCTAACCTAAGCATGTGTTCTGTGCATTCTGTAGTCTAGATAATATGCTGTTCTTTTTAATCTCTATTTTTAGTGGTACTATGTGGTATGAAGGGCAATTACATCACTACCTCCACTATTTCCACTAAATCAATCGATTTGGAGATGGTAGGAGGCTCACTTATGAATATGATTCTCTCCTTTTTTATATTTTGTTCACACTTAGTAAGCTTTACAAGTCTTCACGCATATTCGTTTAAACCAAATAAGTATGGTGATTATATGATCACAAATATGGCACCACGACGAATGACCTTGAGAGCAGTAGGGCTAAGGGAAGCGTGCAAGTCTGAAATGGCGTACACTGCGATGGAATATAAAATGAAGCAGGCAAAAAATCTCACGATTTAATTAATGATGTGCCAATTTCGACTTGTCTTCAAAAGGGAGGATTGCATTTGATGTGGATGACAATATCTTACGGAACAGCTAGTTACACGAAGCCCACATCAAAAAGGAAATTAGTATTACTTCTAAGCAGTAGCTTTTAGAGACAAATCGTTGAAAGGGATAAATGTGAGGAGGCATTAGCGCGAAAATATTGATTAGTGTAGTTGAATTTACAAGTGCACATTATATTAATAAATAGAATCTAAAACAACAGCATCTTTGGTTTTGCGTTACTCTCCTGTTGCCGTCGCGTTAGTTTGATTCCATTAACTTCGAAAGAGCAATTTACATAAGCTTTCATAGTCTGTCTGTATGTATGTATCTGTAGGGCACAAATTTATTCTTCCCAAGTATGTTTATGAGCAGAGGATCAACCACAAAGTTACCTTTAGTAACTAAGATAGTCAACATAAAACAATTCTTTTGTGAACGCAAGTGTTTATATACCATTCGTAGGATGTCACGAGGTTACAGTACGATAAATATTGATTCAAGAACCCTGCGATAAGGTTTCGACTAAAAATGACAATCACAGGGGTGAATCAGTGAAGAAGGAATACACACGATAAAAACGAAGGCAATCCTAAACTTGAGGATGTCAAAATCATTAAGCTAGAACCAGTTAAAAGTGCACTGTTTTTAAACAAGGTTGAGCATTCAACTGCTACTAAAAATCCTTGTCTGGCAAAACCCATTAAGCTAACCAGCACATTTGACCATCTGCGATCAAAATAAAAGCAAATGCAAATAGAATTTTTCACGTAGTGGAAATTCGATGTAATCAAGGGATCACTTGTGATCTTATTCGTCCCGCTCAAAGTCCAATATAAACGTACATTTGAATCTACAAGAAGGAACTTACTTTGCCTTGTGGAGAGTGGTATGCAGCAGCAAGCATGTTGGTAAAAGGCGCGTCGAGCACAATGCCATCTGGGGGTCTCACTGTCCCAGTTTCGTTTATCGACTTCACTAAAGACCCAGCAATCCTTCAAAATCGGATAACCGGCACATTTAGTTGTCCACATTAAAGCAGTTTGGAGGCATAGACACATGCAATGTATGTGTATCCCAATTCCATCTGCAAAATGGGGACTAAATGGACAATAGTCTGTGTTTTCTCGTTTTATTACTCGTAATGATCCGTGTAGATTTACACCCGTTAGCCCGGCTATCGTACACTCAGACCCGCCGTCCTCATTTCTCGGAATCCCCATTGGTCATGCGTCATAGTCCATTCCGCACCACCACCACCACCCCTACTCACTCCACTCATCTGACCTTTCAGTCATTCGTACTTTAACAAGTTCACTTATACAGACACGACTAGGTTGAGCCCGTGTGACCGGGTGTGTGCAGGGTAATTGGACCGAACATAGCGCGGCGGCCCTGGTGTAGATCAAGACAATTTTCCGGGACTCTCAACACACTCAATCATCCAAACAGTCTTGTTCAAAGGTAAAGTTATCTCGCAAAATTGAAAATAGCTGCAAACGTCTTCCACTATGCATAGTAGCAAGTGACTGCCGCCCGCATGTTAACATGTTCGCTTTAGCACGTACCACACACACACACAAGCATTTGCGCTGCTTCCACCCGCACTCTGGGAGACGGTTCTATTCATCACGATTCCAGTTACTTTATTTAGCATGAAAAAACAGCCCTAAGACTGTCTTAATAGTGAACAGGAGACTGTCGGCGCCATGACTGTCTGAAGGCCGCAAACCTACGCCTCTGACAACGCCCCATTTAGGCTATCTAAATTCATTAATTCCCATACGCAATTTCAGTATCACCTCGTGCCCAACCAGACACTCCAATAGTAAAGATATTTAGGTGCGAAAAGACCAAGGTCGTGGCGGCGTCCACCAAAAGCAAATAAACGAGATAACGGTGCCTTTATCTAGAGCAACTGAGGTTCAAGATGAATGACCGCACTCAGGTCCAAAAGAAAATTACTGTTTTTCACAAAAACAGGTGACACTTGAATGGTTCCATGTCTCACTATCACAAACTCATCAACTAGTGGCCTAATAAGCTAATTTTTGCTTAAAATGGGGAGAAATTTAGAGCAACGGACAATACATTGGAGTGATTTGTTCTACCCGTTTCCGTATAGAAGTAAAAGAGTATCAAAGAAGTGGTGTCTTTGCGAATACCGTCGCGGCATTGCCAGCAGGATGCCGGATATGTGATTTCACGAAATCCGGATTGTATTGAGACGACTTCACACCGTCACAAACTATCCACTTTTCAATCCAGCAAGCAGAATTGTGGCGTTTTTCAGGAAGGAAAATTATTTTTTTACTCTAGCTCACTAGGCAACACGCGCGTTAACAAATAGGGGTTAATCCGTGACACTCTCGTTTCTAGTTCTATGCAATTTTAAGATATATGTGAGCCTTTAAACGTTCTTACGTCAGTTTGGTTGGAAAAGCCAGCGGATTAGTGAAAAAATGTGCTTCAGTAAAAAAGACACAGTGATTTGGGTCCAAATAATAGCAAAAACATTTACTTAACGTGCGACTACGCCACTTAGCCTTACTTCACGTGCGGCAATCCGACCACAAATGATAGAACTTCCACGTGGTGATTCACTGGATTTAATGTGCATGTGATTTACGTCCCTTGCCCGACTGATTTTGCCTTGTCTGGAAAGTTATTACTGTTCGCAAATTTACATACTTTTTAATCCAAGAGTGAGTAAAATAACTTATTCGAAAATAATTGTAGTAACTCCCTTTGAGTGGATAGGGATGCAACTTCTTCTGGAAACCTTGATTTACTCATAAGTGCTTGTTAATCACTGCAGCAATTTAAGATAGACTACGGACCGACAGGACTATGATTTCTGTCTTGTACAGACTCAATCGTTATTCAGAGAATGAGCGTAACTCTATTATCGATTTGGCATTTTGCCCAGTGAAATTTGTCGTCCTCTTGACTTAATGATTTTGATCTTTAAATCTTTTAATCTTCATTAACAAAATTACTGGAAAATATACGATTTTAGGTCACCTTCGTAAGTGAAAGTTTCAACAATCTAAGAGTTTTGGTAACTTTGAACCAAATGAAAGTCTGATGTACCAACATCAGGACGACATTGGATAGGCTGCATCACCTTCCAACTATGCTCCAATAATTTTTTAACAATTTTTAAACCTGAGGATTGGCATGGTTGTAGTGAAACATGATTGCTTTCTGAATAAACTATTCCGGCCGTTTTATTGGATTTATTCCCAATCCAATATCATTGGCTCTGAATTGGTAGTTTGGTTCCACTGAAACAGTTCAAGATACGCAACACCTTTGTAGTCTCACTAAGCTCACGGAATAGTCGTTTTGCATAAAATGCAGATTTCGACGTGATTTGTGAAAGTTTGTCACATCGGTCGGTTTTGTACAAAATCATAGTTGTTTCATCGTCAGTGGTGATTCATCATAAAAGAGGGACAATTTCCCTGCACGTAAGATCCAATTCGCAATGTTTGATGGCTGGACTGCTATCTACCAAGTCATGCAGAATCTTAACGGGTCCAATAGGCGAAACTAGTCAACAATTTCTCGCAAGCCCATCTAACGATCAGACCAGGATAATGGAATTTATTTGGTTAGTATCAATTTCCATGAGCAGACCAGAGCTTTTTCAGCTTAGAGCAAAAATCCCCGGAATGGAATTTCTCAAGCAGTTCCCATAAGTACGTTCTGCAAGGTGCTTAACACCGTACACTGTTTTTGTGAAAATAAGTGACGATAAGTGAGGGTTTTAATGCATGCCTGGCTTTTTTTCAAAGCACATTTTTTGTAAATGATTGTTGATTGACTAGTGACCTAGCAAATATGGGAATGAAGTGGCCTTTCTTATTTTGAATTTTTGTGCCTCCTTAGTGGACAAAAAACTAACGATGAAGAAAATTCGGTGGTTCCCTGAAGAGGACTACGTAATGAAACATTAGGCCGTGGTAGCAATGCTAATGACCTAAGGTCACGAACAGGCAAACTTAAAAAACTATTGTATAATCAGGGTCTCTTAAGCTCATGGCTTAAAACTTTTGTTCTGTTGCTCAGACCAGAGTGGCCACGTTTTGTTTCACTGGGCCATTGGCTTAATAAAGAGTTTTGAGGTTTGTTAAATTTGTTAACACTTGCCTACACCAACAAACAAGACAATTCGAAATCTCTGACTTAGATTCAACAGTAATATGCTTTTTGATGCACGCATCCATCCGACATGCCACTTTAGGAGCATATTCATTCTGTTGTTAACTCAAAACTGCAGATTAGGAGTAATATTGCAAAAAGTTACGCAATTTAATAATGCTCGTAGACAAGAACGCTAGTTTAAAATATATTGTGGCAAATTAATGTTCTAAAGACTCAGTTAAAACCTCAAAGAAAAAAAAGAATAAATTAACTAGAAAAATTTACTCCTGAAGGACATTACCCGGTTCCCAGAGAACTGCCCCATATAAAAACTGGCGAATGGGGCGCCACGTTTCGAGCGTATCTCAGGAGGGAGACTGCATCGGCGACAATGTCAACTTCGCCTTCTGGATAGCCACCAGAATTTCCAAAACCTGAAAATACACCACAACCATTTGCTCACAAAATCAGCCTTCATCGTGACAACATTATGCATTGATTATTTAATGTGACTTCTTGATAATTTGGCAAGAGACTAATTGTACAATTATTAATGCAAAATCTGCATGGAAAATAAACCATTCAGAGAATTTTATCTTTAGAAAGCCATCATAAGACTTCTTCGGAGACAAATTTGCCTCCATAGCGAAGTATAAAGTTAGGCTCGTTTAATTCAGAGATGTGCCATTTTGCTGCAAGACTTCGAAATTGGCGGATAGTAGTTTGTGCATTTAAGAATGTCTATGAGCGATGACTTAGTCTTTTGGTTCATGGGGAAAATTATAGATATTGATGTAGCTCTTTGAGTGGATAGAAACAAGAACTGCGTTCTCAAAATAACGAAATCGACATAATGAAAGACCCAGGACGTCAAATATGCCAGGTAATTTATTTGCAACAGATCACTGCTTTTGCCATTACAGGTGATTTGTGATGGTTTAAATTAGTTATAACATTATCTTAAGGTAATGTTTAACTACAACAAACCTCTGTAATCGATAGCCATCACGTGGTACCCAAGCCGAGAAAGGAATTTATAGACCTCGACTCGACTTGGGTAAGCTCGATTAAACGCGATTCCATGAAGATACAGAAATATTGGGACGCCGTCGGTGATATCAGTCTTATTCTGTCCACGAAAATCAGTCGCGACTTTGGGACGAATATGCCTAAAAGTTAGAAGCGATAGCTTAAACTCTTGGACGCACCTTCAAAACTCGCAAATCATCCTAGTGCAGATAATCGTTACAAACATATGCAACGAAAAATAAGTCCTCTCCATACTATCATTTGTTAGACATGAATAAGGCTTCAACAGATACACGCACAAACAGCTGATTTCCAGAACAAATCTGAACTGATACGCGGAAATATGGAAGGCGGCACTTAACCCAAAGTAAAAGAGATGAGAGCATGTGGGTTAATCTTAAAAGCTAAATATGCAAACCCATATCACAACTAAGGAAAACAGACCGCATTGGGCTTGGTCTGTGAGTTAAATTTTTACTGTAAAAAAAGAAAGTCATTTCAAGCAGTTATTGAAGAATTGGTAGATTTAGTTAAGGAACTCAGGGTATGCTTCAGTATCTTATCGTTTTAACAATAAATTCGGCTTTTGGTACAATTTGGTTGACTATACTTGAGGGACAGATAAAAAAAGTACAAAAAGGGCTCACCATGTTCCTAGAGGAGTACCATCAAAGTCCGACTGTATGTAGAAGTTGGATGCAGAGCCATCAAAAATGCCGTATGGAGCAAAATTGCTGAAGTTTTGAACTTGGTACGACTGGACTAAAAAGATTAGAGGTTAGACTGCTCACTCCGGCCCATTCATTGAAGACTGAACTTTTTTAAGTACTGAACAGCATTTTTTGTGATGAGTAATTGTTATTCACACCATCTGCTTGCCCTGTCCTGCGACATGCGGTCTCACTAGAAGGAAATTACCTTCCACTAATTTAGTTGAAATTCTCCGCCATCTATTTCAGCAGGAATGTGCAAATTAAATGTTTGTTTATCGGATTTTTTACTACAGAAAGAAATCATGGTTTAAAAAACGCGACTCTGTCAAAATAACTTTTGTTCAAACCGGTGCGATCCGTTACTGCGACATGTAAATATGCAATAGGACTGGAAATTATCATAATGTACCTCAAAACACCGCCCTTTTTTTCCTAATTTATGTATTGCCAAGTGGCCTAAACACTTAATGGTCTTGCTCGTACAGGGAAATAAGCTGCAAGAAAGCTGATATCGAAATACGATGTGTGGTTTGCTATGAATGAAGAAGTTTAGCTGTAGGCACAAACCTGCATACGTTACAAAATATCCAAGGTGGACTAGCACAACAAAGCTATTCTCATGCAGAATATTGCTGCAAACGCAAGATTTATTAGAGTAAATATCAACATCGCTAAAAGCGATTCTAATGGTTTTGTTCGTCATCTAAACTCCAATGCAAATCATTTCCACCAATATAGAGACAAAATCTTTTGTTATAAGTTGGATTGTCTTATGCATAGTTCCGCACCTTATTAATACACATAGAGAAACACTGTTTGTGCCAAGGCCGTTCCAATTTCTCACCCAACACCCAAGAATGAATCATTTATCTACTATCGCCTTCTGTCCTCAAATAAACGCCATGGTAGAGTGTTTGCATAACAGATGAAGGCCTCTTCAACTGCTCAAAGTGATCCGCCCCATCAGTCAGACGCACTATTTTTGTCATTCTTGGAGTTTTATCAGCTGTTATATAGAACATGCAAGGTATTTCTAGGCAGTATTTGTGTTTGGTAAATTACTGCCAACTTCAGGCCAGACCCTCCATGCGTGGTCACAAGCGTCTAGGTCAAGCTCTTGCACTTACACCGAATGACAAATTGAAGCAATAGACAAGCAGAAACACATTCAACTTCATTCAATGGTCGCAGTTTAACATGTTGTAAAGGATTTTGTATTGGGCACTCAAAGGTTTGTCAGACACGGCACCAAACAAACAAAACGGAATAGAATATGCCATATCCTCAAACTTAGACACCAAGACGATCTCAAGCAACAGACTGCAGTCAAAGACATCTAACACCTCCTTCCTCAGATAAGCACACGCGTCACCTGCTCCAAAAGTTGCCAAGACTTGATAAAGAAAGCGTTAATCGTCATAAGTGCTCAGACTGAAGTCTGACACAAAACCCGCCCTTAACTGGCCAATCCCGCTACAGACTTAGTCTTGTCTAGCCCACTTGGATAGTTTACAGCTGTTACTAGCTTTTCAGTTTGTAACATAAACGAATGTGAATGCAGTCGATTCTTAAGTTCGATTGCTTGATTTCTGTTTAACCCTTACATAGCGATTGTCGTTCGGTGATTTTACTGTCTATCTTCAGTAATGTTTTTGTTTCACGCATGCATTGTAATACCGCTTTTCATATGAATTTGGCTTTTTTTGAATATCTGTGTTATAAATATTACTTTATTTTATTTCTTTTGCTTGAACTTGCTACACTCATTAACAGAATACCAATAGGGTATCGTGGTTTATTCAAATATTTTCCTTCTTTGCAAGATCCAACAACTTCGGAATATATTCTCTAGGTTATGCTAAAAAACCAGTCTACCCAGTAACTTGCAGAAAAAAAGTACATTCTTGTACAGAAACCAACAAACACTTGTTTCAAAGAGTAGGCCATTATTCTTTATTAAATTCAAAAATATTGAAGGTGGAATTTTGAGCACTTACCTTTGTTGTGCTGCATATGACTTCTGTATGATATACATCTGAGTTAGGGAAATACGACTTGAATATCCTCAAACTACACTATTTAGCACCAGAATTTATTGACTGCTCAAATACGTAATCTAAGGCATATCTATGAGTTGAGACCAGTACATTGCATTCCAGTGTGTAGAGATGTTTTTGTACAAATTTAATCAGTCTATAGTTTCAAAAACATGATCAACCGTCCAATGCGATGTCAATCCATTTAAATTTAAAATATTTGGCAATTTAAGAAACTTCTTAAAATGGGGAGTAAAACGTAAGTTCGAGAGGTCAAAACAGTATCCGTAAGAACCTATACATGAAAGTCTATCCAAAAGCATTATTTATTTTTAAATGATATCTCGCATATTTTGGTTGTTATTTACTTGAACGACACCTTTAGAAATATGAAGCAATTGCAGTGTTTGACTATGACGCACATTCATAGAGGAAAACTAGAAGCATTTTATTTGCCTGAATAACATTTTGATGGTGTTGTGTTTATCACAAAGACTAATGTACGTTAAAATGCTTTGACGTTTCATTAATTTTTAACTTTCCATTTTATTTATTTATAAATGTTTGATTTTTGTAATCCAGATGTGTATATAGGTGAAATAATTCTAAAAACGATAACCGGACTCATGAATGCCTACACTGGTTACCTTTATTATCTTTCAAAAAGACGTAAGCAAACCTTAAGTATTACGACGTGAAAAAAGTAAACAATTAAGGGCAGCGACAAGTCATATTTTAAGCCAGCTCAAAAGCTTAAAAAAATTGCATCTCAGTAAGCAAAAAATATTCACAAAAAAAAACAAATTAAATAGTTTACATAAACCTTAATAGCGTATAAATTATAATTTAATATTGCCCTAAATAAAATTTACACAAAAGGCGATTAAATTACTAATCAATATTACACGAAAGAAAAAAGACGTTACGTTACTCACGTGAGTGCAAATATATTAAAGGAATAGCCGCTCTTGGGAAAATCACGCAAAAAATAGGTACAACATAGCACAGCCCCAATAGAGGAAATAGAAGAAAAATAACTATCATACTGTACCATGCACCTATTGCGCCTCAGAGTGCAAACAAAATAGTTCGCTTAAACAAGTGCAAATAAGGTCATTATTTTGATGAAGTCAATACATTTAAACAGCACTAACATTTGCTCTCAAAACCAGACAAAGCATTAATAATAGTATTATATAAATCTGCAGTCAAAAGCAATGTCGACAAGAACCACATGCAAGGGGAAATTCTTTTGACAAGTAATGATGTTGGCCACATTTGAAGTAATGCGCCTTCCAAAATAACATTGCTGAATTGAGTATTTGGATCAAATTTATTTCATTTACGGGATACAGACTTTTGGTACTTACATGTAGATTCCTAATTTGTAGAAACGTTTGGATTTATTATTATTTTGCCAATTTAATGCAGTATAAATTAAAGCAATATTTCCATTTTCTTATCGGCAACTATCAACAGAGGTACACTTCTTGCGAAGTAATCTAATGTTCAATTCAAAGAGACAAATTCTTTTATTACTTCGATTGCAAAATGATTCTACTAATGACCTTCCAAACCTGAGTTTGTTTTGGAATTGTAAAATTTGCATTTTCTTTATGATACCACACAATATTTATATAAAACCCAGTAAATATGCTTCGACTGAACAAAATATGACCATTTTATTTATTATTCTGTAAATGTGAACCAGGAAAAATTCAAATAATACTTTGCACTTCTTATTTTAAGCAGTTTCAATAACATGAAATCGTTGTCGGTGCAATAATAGTCTGTATTTAGAAACAGCGTTCAATTGCTTTCTGCTAACATTTATTTGAAAATGCTTCGAAAAAAACAAATTGCAACTCTGGGTTTAATAAACGCTAATGTTAAATTGGTCCTGGATAATCACCGCATCGTTGGAATATACCTCGAGTTCTCTGTTCGTAGTTACTTAGTTACTTCCAGCATCAACTTATTATCATATGTTTAAATTTTAATGATATTAAGGCCTACTATTACAATGGACTGTTTGTCAAGATGATAAATTTATACACATGAAATCATTAACAATTTTAATAACATCCGTTGCGACATAATACATTACGAGACATCAGGGGGACAGAGACAACCATTTATTTGAGAACTAAATCAATTTTTCGTCAGTGTGCGCATTTTATAGTGATTTGATCGTGTGTATTTACAGATAAAATGTGTGAGACAGCATGAGTTGCAAAACTGCTAACATCGACATTTAGGTAAACGCTATCACACAACGGGATAATTCTGGATGATCGTTCACGACAATGAAGTGTGAATTGAGTTTCTGATCGACAGCATCGACAGCATACTGTAAAAGAGGGGCCGTGAGCGGGTTAATGGAGTTGTAGCGCGCCTGGGCATAATAAGAGGACTAATGGACAGTTATACGGGTATATTAACAGAAAACACAACGACAGTCTCCAACGTCAGGGTTAAGGTTCTAGTGTTCACAAGGGGTTTGTTATATACTGGGTTCAGGCTGTTCCTGTCCTCTCATTGGCTCCTGCTTGGCTTCTAGAAATAGAAAGACAATCTCGTGAGGTGATTGGCTATCTGGGCTTTGGCGCCCCATTTGAAACTTAAATACTCCTCGCAACCGGAAATCACGTGATGCCGCCCCCACGGCGCGCCACTGGCTCTCAACCAATGGCTGGATGCCAAGATGGCGTCCCTCTACCCCCACGCTACAGAGTAACCGGATTAACGGGTGCGAATCAATGCAATTCACAACACATCTAATTATTATCACTTGCCACGTAGCATTTCCTCTTCATCCCAGCGTGCATGGCAAATGTTTTTTTTTACACGAAGTCTTTGGTTTAGTTGTTTGATGGAATTCTGAGTATAAGTAATTTGCAAATATTTTTTGCTACGTTATAAGCGTTGCTGCCCAGATATACTTGCAATCAGACAGACGATTTACTAATACGGTTGTTGAAAAATACTCAGAATTATTATCCAAAACATTTTTAGACCCTATATCATCTTCTAAAACTATAATTAAAGGGATTTCGAGGACCATATATTGAACATTTATTTGCATTTCAGCCCACAATTGCGCCGTACGTATTTAGTCCTCTTGATAGACTTTAGCTTTTAGTAAGCAACGCAATACCGTACTAATATTTGTATGTTTATCGCATTCAGATCTATAATTGGATATAAGCCCATCAGGACTCGGAATCCCAAGAATTTCTTTAGGCGTGCTACTTGGATTTCTGAAACGGCCTCCTAACGACACAATTATACTTTTTATACGCGATCGATAAGGACAACAGCACTGTGGAACGAAACCGAATTGAAGTGAATTTGTGGCTGACGTAAGAAAACTATCTCGCTTTAGCAGATTCTCCTTTCCGAGCCCCTTCAATTGACCAGTTTCGAATTAGGAATAAAATTGATAGTATTGTCAATACTGGTAGTAAACTTATGCGAAAGATGCAAATTTGTTGCGATGACAAGTATGTTACGGTTTGGCAAAAATTAAGTGCTTTTAGGCGCCATGGTAAGCGTTCAGCAAGTCAGTTGAATGCAATTTATTAGGAGAACGAAAAAGTAAACCTACATACGAATGGTTTCGACGCCGGAATAATCAATTTATGAATCTGTAACGCATGTCATTTAACCAACGCTCGCCAGTCCGGGCTGTACTTTGTCTTCCTCTTCCATACTCCCATTCCACCATCCTCAAGGCGCGTACCTGGATCTAAAGGCTACTCTCCCCACAGCCATCCTCTTTCTCTTACAAAGCTACCTCTCCTTCTAAGCTCTAGCCCCTCTGTATTTTTATACCGTGGCATGGAATACATCTAGTTGCACCCACTAGTCTTCTGTCGTTTGCTTGATAGTCAACCCTGATGGTGTGACTATCTCTGACAGACGAGCTGACAGCAACCTTCCAATTTATGTCCCCACTCGGTGGGCAGTTTGCGAAGCGAGCACCGCTACTGGATTTGACGGAGTTACAAATGAATGACAAAATTCGCGATCCAAAAAAACAGGTTAAATCTTTAGTTGCAAGGTCTTTACTGGGGACTACTATCACCCGACAAATAAATCTGTCATGGTTGTGCGCATTTAGGATAATGAACCTGACAGTGGAAGAGGTCGATCCAAATTGTCTGTGAACATAACTGTTCTGATATTGAATGCAGAGTTCTGATGGTCTGAGCCAGTTAGTTTTTTCGGATAAGATTGGTACGGGCTTAATACGACAGTCGAGCCCATGTCATAAGACCGAACCAATAGTAGCTTGGGAAGAACCCATGCGTAAGACAGGATTCGCTTCATCCTTTCAGTAGCACTACTTCGTAAGATTAGTTACAGCATCATTCATTGTTTAAACTGCCCTTCCATCCAACACTTTGATAATGTTTATGCTACTCTTTCGCATTTGGTCAGTATCATAGAACATGAAACTTGAGGGTTTTTGACTAAACCAAGGAAATACTCCACTCTTCGTGGTGGTTATGTCATTGATGATAATCACACTATATTGCCGGGGGATTATGTTTCGAAGTGAGCAAATAATCCAAATGACAGAATTATAGAGGTCTTTGATACGACTTCTGCGGTTACAGATATCAGATGACAAGATTGAGTAGAATTGAGCACCGATCTCAAAAAAAATTCGAGGATCTGTCAAACAGGGTAACGGTTAGAACTGTGAAATAGGTGGAGACTTACATATTCTTAGTTTCCCTTCCCCGAGCTGCTTAGGTTTCTTGCATGTCTGAGCCTTTCAAGAACTGTTCGAAACACGGGTTACGCCAAGGCGGCGTATTATTCAAAGTTGGGACGCTGAGCACCAAACAGGGTAAAATGTGGAAGCCAATTAGTCAACGAAGTTACCGTCATCCGGAGGCAAGAACCGCAACCTTTTGACCCGAAAAGTAGGTGCCGAAAACCGATTTTGTCTAAGCCAGTTACCATTTGTTAACGACCATCTCACGCATTCAACAGAACACACTTATAACTGAAAATGACCACCTAAATTTGCACAAATTTCGCAATGAAATATTGGCGATGCCGCGTTCCGAGGGCAAATTCACGCTAGCAGACAAAACGTCTGCTGACACCCCAAACAAAAACGCCGAGATTAGTATGGCATTGGTGGCACTTATTCTACTGACCCAACCTAGGTTTACCATAACCCCTAGCCACGAATCTCGTGTGCCAACTAATACCAAAGGGGTACCATACCTACTCGACAGCAAAGAAAATACGAAATAAACTAACCATATTACGAAGAGTGAACTGAGCTGGAACACCAAAACCAGACGGCTACATTTGCAGACATTGAGACCAGTTTTACTGAACACCCGGGTTTTAAAACTCATTCCCAAAATCTCACTGTCATTGTACTTAGTGGCCCCAAGTCTGATTAATGCACCAATTGAAACATAGCCGCGTTTAAAGAACTCGATACCGCAATAAGGCAATTTATGCAAATTATTCTCCGACAACAGCCAACTCGGTTTGCAGCTGAGAGAGGTAATGTGCTTTCTTCTGCCGTATACGCTCCCTGCGCTCCTTGATGGTCATCTTCTTTCTGTTGAAGCGACGGACTTTCACGTCCTTCTTTTCAGCCTTAACATACGAAGGGTCTTTTCTGATAGCAGCATGCGCGTTTTGATACATGGCCTCAATAGAGTCCTCTGTGACGCCATGCTTTAAGTAGCAGCTAAATTGCCTTTTATAGGCCTCCTCATTTTCTTCCTTCAGTGATCGCATGTACTCAGCTACGTGCTGACCAAGGATACGAGCGCGATGAGCCTCCGCATCGTATTCCCCAGATTCGGAGTTGTTACCAGGGAAACGTGAAGGACTGTGAGGGATGTTCAGACCACCATCGACAGCGCCCTAAAAAGCGATCGGTTAAGCTTTACACCCCACCTTAAGAGCTCCAAAAATATTGGCGCCAGTAGATGTGCGACGGAGGCCAACATCGAGAAAACATCTAAACGGACCCCGCTGCTTCTCGATCTTTTCGACAAGGTATTCTTTGCCATCAGCCTCTTTTTGGCCTTCGTATAGCTTATCCAGTTTTAGCTTTTGCAACACTCGGCGAGCAAGAAGAAGACCAGTGCAATAGGATGCGGCATAATTTGTGAGACCAACCTTCACGCCATATCGTGGTAACTCGTGAGAATATGCGCTGCACACGACGCGATCACCATCCATACAGGCATAGACGACCTTAAAAATGTTAATCCAATGCAACATTTACCTGACAGACAATATCCTTGTTGGTAAAGCGGACAACAAATCTATATTTAGGGGTGTTGTATTTATTTTTATCCTGCCAAATGAGTCGTTTGCGGGCATAGTAATCGGTTTTTCCCTCACGACGCCTTCGAAACTTCACTTGGAACCGCTTGAAGTACGCCTTATTTTTTGTAACTTTGACGAGACCCTACAAAACCAGACAGCAACACCAAGGATGACATGTACCATTCCAATTTTTGTGATTCAGGACCAACAGACAGTAAATTCATCGAACCAAAGCAAAAACAATGAACCATGACATAAACGACACATAAATAAGACATCCAGAAAACCAAACACGACCCACCATGCCTCAACACAACAGTGACATTTAAATCACCAACCGAAGTCCATTAAAACTTAAAACCAAATCAATCCCATAAGGCCTAAAATTTTCAGGTGAAATTTTTTTTACCATCTATAAACAAAACTAAAAATATTGTTTACTGTTCCTAAAACCCCTATTATACTTTTGAGACCTTCCAATATATATTTCATTGATACTTAATCGAAAGCCAAAATTGCTCTAAATATACATGAATTGTTTGTTAGTATTCTCTGACGTTTATTTATTCCAGCATTCTAAAACAATCGCTTAGGGATTTTCTTGTAAGCAAACTGAAAAATTTTGAAGTCATATCTAATCAACCGCGTTTAGAATGAGTACTTGGCTTCTGGTCGTCCTCTCTGACTACCTCAAAAATTCATTAAATCGTTATTATGAATACATTTACATCTTTACAAATGCATTTTTAGGTAGACTTTAAATTCAGCTTGATTTGTTAATTTATTCATCGGCGACGTGCATATTTAGTTTGAGATAGACATGTTCAAATGGCTGTTTTTAAATTTGTCATCGGGTTTGTGGGCTAAATGAATGAAACTAGGTTAGTAGCCTTTGATCTTAATTTCTAGTGCCTAGCATTAATTTTTCATAAAGTTGGTAAGCGTTTTAAACCTAGTGGGTCTCAAATTACATTAAACTATATTATACTATATCGTGGTGTTTTTTAGGAATCATTAGTCCACTTATATTCAGGCGTTTTTAGCTTGTATTTGTTGACATTAAAAATGATAAACATAGTTTAGTTCGCCTAAAACCA